ACTTACAACAGAACAGCAATGCATTTTATGGACGACCGTTTCGTGAACCTAGGAGAGGAGGTCATTCTGACTTTGCTATGACAATCTGGCGCTTCTAAATCAGCTACTGTTTTGTTATTAGTTCAAGTATTTGCTATTGACTGTTCAAATGCGTGTGCGTGCGAGCGAGAGAGAGAGAGAGAGCGGTGTGTGTGTGTGTGAGCGAGAGAGAGCGAGACACATCACAGTGGAGTCAGCTGTCTTAACCGTGGCTTGTGTACTGCAAACACATAGCAGCTTCATCACTGTGTGTCTGTCATGAGACTCTGTTCACCTTTCGGGCTCTGTCTTTACATTTATTTTGAAAGATGAAGCTCGCGATTATGGTAAGGGTCGTTACATTTCCGACGAGTGCTTGCGTTGTTCAGCCGATCACAATGCACTGGGTCAGCTGGCCAATCAGAGCAGACTGCGCTTGTCGGAAGGAGGGACTTTGTAGAAAATGAAGCGTTTGAGAGAGGCGGGGCATAGAGGACCTCTAATAATGTACAGTATTTGAAAAATAATGTGTTTTTGAACATTAAAGCATGTCAACATTCTGTTAGACCAAATGCACAAAATAATGATCTTTAAAAAAGCATCATACGACCCCTTTAACACCAAATCAGCATTTTAAAATGATTTCTGAAGGATCATGTGGCGTAACGGCTACTAAAAAAAATCAGCTTTGCCATCAAAAGAATAAATAACATTTTAAATGTATTGAAACAAAACTTTTATTTTAAATTATAATTGTAATAGTCACATTATTACGGTTTTACTGTATTTATGATCAAATAAATGCTTGGTGAGCATAAGAGACTTCTTTCAAAAATGTAAAAAAAAAAATAATAATTTTTTAAATTGTACCGACCCCAAACTATGGAGTAAGCAAGCATCGTTTTGAAATAAAGCTTTGACAAGAATATGAATCATGATCTTCTAGCAAGCGTTTCCCAATCCTGCTCCACGTGTCCACCCTAGCTCTGGATCTGATATCTAACATCTGAATCAGCTTATTAGTAGCACTCTCCATGACCTGATTTGGTGGCCTAAGTATTTTGTGAGCACATTTTTTAGTTTTCCCTATTCAGTCAGCACAGCTGTTTCAGACAATAGTGACCTAACCTTACCCTATTATTATGTTCCAATAGCAAACCACTCACACTCATAACTGCACAGTACAAATGCAAGTTATTCCCCCATTATTGTAAATCATTTAAATATATTGCACTAATAAAACAATACTACTTTGTTCAGAACTCCCTCATGGAAAATTCAGCTCTCCCCAAACATGATCTGACCACTATTGTGCAACAGTCTGTTTGAGTCACGAGGTCACATACTGGAAGATGAGGGGAAACTGGGCTGCCTCGTGCTTGTGACCCAGACAAGGTAAGGTAATATAAAGTGACAGCGTAAATCATTTCAACACGCAAACGTGGGCGAGTGTGCAGCAGCCTTGATCAGATTGAATAATATAAAGCCCACACATTTCACACAGGACAGACAAAACTTAGATTTGGAATTAGATCAACAGCAAAATTGCTTATGCTGATCTGATATCAGTATTTCAATATATTTAATTGAAAACAGGCTTGTACAACTGATAAAGTCAAACTATTAATTCAACTGGAATAATTCACAAATAATCACAATTTAAATTTGTACAGTATATTTGCACTTTTTTTTAAACATCCCAATTGGATTTAATTCATAGGATGGATTTGATATAGTATAGAATCGTAATGTCAAATTCAGTTACATGAAAACTAGTCACACTGCGCCATATTTGAACCCTTTTCCCCCACAATTCTCACCATCTCTGAGGAAAGTGTCAGCGAAGCAGAGGCAGCGCACCACTCCCGACAGTGAGTCGTCTGCAGAGCGGGGCTCAATCCGTCTCTGCACTGGCGCCACCTCAGCATCGTGCTCCTGCACCTGAGGAAGACAAGAAAACTAATAACCAACAGGTCAACAGACTCACAAACAATGGCCTCATCCCCTTGAATCACAAAAACCTGTAAGATGGAAATGCATGTATGTATGTGAGACTTCCAGACACTCACTTTACTGGTGGGACTATTAACTACAGCACGTTTCTTCCCTGAGACTCTGCTCTTCCGGATTCTTCTGAAGGACTGGCGCAGGGATTTCTTCAGAGACTTCACTCGAGACAGCGGGCCCTCCATAGCCAGAGAGTCATTGGGGTGTAGAGTGCACCTATGGAAAAACACAAAACCTTCCTTATAGCAAAGTAGAGTCACACAAAAGTCAGATTTTTTATTATATCCCATGAGGTTATTTTGCACTGTAACTGCTGAAGGAAACCCTTATTCCGATTAAGGTTTATTGCATACCTACAAAAATTTTATTCATTAATTAGGGCATGCAATGGATAATACATTACTGTTACTATAAATATAAACATTCATAAAATGATAGTTATTATATAGTTATTTTATACAGTTATTACTATTAAAAAAACACTTCTAATAAAATTGATTACTATATTATTAATCACTTATTAATTAAATTAATATAACACTTAATTAATTAGCAGTAAATTACTTTAATAAAAGTATTAATAATAGTAATATAATTATGAAAATATATTTTGTATTTAATACATTTCTTTAAAACAACATTTCTGTATTACTTATTAACTTTTATTAAAGTAATTTAAATGTATAAAATTATATTATTTTAGTTGTTGTTAATAATAATAATTTTAATACATTTAAACTACTTTAACAAAAGTATTAATAATAATAAATAATACAAAAATATTGTTTTATTTTAAGAAATGTATTATAATCATCATATTATTATTATTGTTGTTGTTGTTAATAACAACAATAATAATAATTTTATAATTGGGTTGGTTATTATAAGCACATTCTAGCAGCAGATGCTGAGTATGCAAGAATATTTTATAATAACAATTAACTGGATTCACATGCAATACATTTCCATTTTCTTGTTTATTTTTAATGTTTGCGTCATGAAATATTTGTAAAATGTAGTTGGAAACGCAGCTTCGGATGAGACATGCTCATCGAGACAATCATGCGTTTATTAATTCTGTCATTATTAGATAGTTGTTCATTTAAAGACCCTGCTTGATTTGAAGATTGGTTTGCACATGACAGATTTCGATTATTAATTTAGTAAACGTAGTTAGTAAACAAATCGAGCCAACCCCAATTCAGACAACTTGAATATCTTCATAGCAAATGAGATCAATCTCTTTCAGTTTGAAGCACTGATTAACAAGCATTTGGCAAAGTAACACAGCAGCTTTGGACGGCCCCACGAGTTACCTCGCCAGCACTGGACTTCGCCGATGATAGTCAAAGAGGCCAAAGCCATGACTGGTGCCAAAGGCAATGAGGTTCCACTCTGCGTGCAGGGTTACCGCGGTAACGGCCGCGGGGGGCATGCACTGCACCAGGACAACCGGCTGGAATCCAGGAGCAAACACTACTGAGCCGCTCCTAGGAGGCAGCCGGTCATGACCCTTCCACGTGAAACCCTCTCGGTCCTGGAGCAGGTCCACCGTGGCCACATCAATCATGTGATCGGACTTCTCATCGCTAAGAACCAGAACTATAACCTGGGAGCAGAGTATAGGTTGCAACATTACCACTTATTTTTGTGACGTCAATAGCCATTTGAAAGCCTAGAGAGCATTCGTTTAATAACAAAGCCGTTATTTTTGTTTTGTTTGTGCACAAAAAGTATTCTCGTAGCTTCATAGAATTATGGTTTAACGACTGATGTCGCATGGGCTATTTCAATGCTTGCTGTGCCTTGACCGTGGTAGTTGTGTTGCTGTCTTTGGAGGGTCAGAAAGCTCTCGGATTTCCTCTAATAAAGCAATAAGCCCCGTGAAGCCGTGGTTTACAGTGAATTGATAACAGCTAAAGAGCGTTGTTAGGCACGACGCGACGCGAACCCCCTTAGCTGTTATCAATTCACTGTAAAACCACGGCTTCACGGGGCTTATTGCTTTTATAAAACGGTTATTCCATATACGTAGTACGGTTTCACTAAATGAAACAAAAGTGTAATGATATTAATAAAAACAGTATTCTTCCACCAAACAATGTAGTTCCTCAGAAACAGCTGTGGTTGCAACAAAGTGGTTGCCAAGCAACACACAGAAGTAAACAAATGTGTATGTTTTTTAGAGTAATTTACAACAGCTTAGAACGCGGCTCAGCCAATCAGAATCAAGGACCGGAACTATCCGTCTTATAAAATATCTCAATTTGTGTTCTGAAGATGAACTTGAAGGTCTTACGGGTTTAAGTAATTAACGAGAGAATTTTCCGTTTTAGGTGAACTATCACTTTAAGAGGTTATGAGGTTTCATTATGGTTAGGATGTAGCCTTTTTAGACAGCACACAGCAAAGCCGCTTAACTAAGCTTTTTGAAACAAAGCCAAAGCCACTAGAAGTCAAGCCTGCAACCACTAGCCGAAAAAGCGTAACGGCTAGTGCTAACGCTTCTGGTCTGGCAGTACGCGTTTTTTTTTTTCTTTTCTTTTTTGAATGGATGTCAATGGAGGAGAGGCTTCACGATGCCGAATAAACAGCTTTTTAGAGGAAACAGCTCATCGACATCAATGAATCGTCAGCCTATCTGCTAATCTTCAACATGTTTTACACCAAACAATACTTTTGGATTGAACTATTTTTAGAGTTTACCACGAAAAAAATGCCGTTTTATAAGAGAAGTCACTAAGTTTTTGCGACCGATTCAGCTTACGGCATTTCTCATTCATTCCTATGGGAGGCGTAAACGGCGACTGAGTGTCGCACAAATCTGACTGAAATTCAATGACGTCAAGGCTGTAATGTTATTGGTTATTAAGGGACACATGATCCAAGATAGCCGCAATAGTAAGTAATACAGACCCTCTCATCTCCCTATAGTAAAATAATCTCTGACAAAGCTACTGAACTAAAAATATATTTGCATTAATCATTAAAAACTAGGGATCCTACTTGTCCAGCAGTTCCAGCCACCACCAGTTTTCCGCTGTATTTACAGACGCTGATCTTCTGGATTGCTAGTCTGGGATCATCACTGTATGGGTCAAAACAGCCCACCTGGAAATAAATGAAAAGCAAACACGGACTGTTATTTTTCTTCGTCGATTCTTAAGGCTGCACGAACAGAGCTACAATATCCCTTTTATGAGGGACGTTTAGTACAAAAACACACCTGAGCCAATCAAGTCTAACCATAACAAACAAAATATCTTCCACACGCTGAAGAAAAGTCAAATGCCATCTATACAGCCTTAAAGAAAAAGCTTCAGCCATATAGCTCCACATGCTATGGACAATATAATGCAATCGGTAACAATATAAGACTGCATTTCCTTCCCCTCTAGACACATTGACCCTCAACAATGTCTAATCCCAGCCAAACAGCTGCGGACAAAGACTAGAACAAAGAAAAGAGGAATGTGCATATGAGGGAGAAGAAAAAAGAAAAAAAAACACTGGTAAAACAAAAGCAACGCAGAAGTGCCATCCAGAGCAGCAATGAGCTTCATCTTCAGCAGACGTCAGCAAAGCATTTCAGTCATCAGACAGACAGTCTGCTTTTAATTAAGGTGCAAAAGGAATCGACTCCAGTGTGAATCCCATATGCTAAAGTGGGCCACGCACCAGACTGCAGTTGGTGTTTTATGGAGAAGCTGAAGAAGAGGAAAAGGTGGATTAGGAAAACAAAAACAAAAAAAGAGAAGAGCAAGGTCAAGAAACTTGCTAAAGCTTCCCTTGTTGTGAAAGAAAACAGTGAGTAAAATAAAATAAAATGTCCCGGTGTTCAGATGATGTGATTTAAGCTTTGTTTTAAAAGTACAAAAAAAATAAAATAAATCATCAGATCTCCCATAAATCCCTGACCTTTCTGAAAGGAGGCCATTCCTCCTCCCCGGCCTGCGTCAGGCTGTCGTTGTGGTCGCAGTCTGTCTGAAAGATGTTGGCTGTGCTCAGTTTGTACAGCGGTTTGAGCGACACTCCTGACGCATCCCAGAAACGCACTGTACCATCCTCGTGACTAAAAAAAACAAATACAATCATCCTGACAACGGATCCAAATAAACAGGAATGTTTTCATTAAAGCCTGTGAGACGTTTTATCAAAGCATTGAAGAAAAATATAAGCAGCTGTTCAAATAACTTAATTTTGATTTCTCATTAGTGATAGGAAGAGATACAAAAATAAAAAAAATTAAATATAATATAATATAATAATAAAATAAAATAAAATCTCACCCAGTTAACAGCAGTTCTTTCTGCTTTGGATCAAGTGTTAAGTTTTTCCCTCCACATATTGGCCAATTCTGTCAACACAGAGGGGGAAAAAAAAGCACACTCAGGGCGGCCACTTTAACAAAACATCTGGCAAACTTTAAATTCTCTAATGAAATAACATTAAATAAGAACTTTGATGCTGGTTTGTGTCTTATTGGTGGTTGTTAAATAAAATCCATTTCAGAAAGACTAAGCTATTAAATCTAAAAATACAGTATGAGCGTGCTGTATTAAATCAATTCATTTATATAACAGTGACAAAAAAAAATGAAGGGTGGTGTTTGTTTTATGATGTTAATGTTATACACATAACAGATGTTTTACTAAATGCAAATATTTAGTATTCTGCTGAAGTGAAAGAAAAACGATACATATGTAAAAGCATGAAAGCCAACTATATGTCAGTTATGGAAATGTCAACACATCGTTTTACACATTCTCCAGAATTTGCAGGTCGATTTTAAATCCAAATTTCCTGTTAAACCAACAGAGGGCATGTGGGAAAAAAGCGCTAGTTTTGGCTTTCTGTATGGGGTCTTTTAATTCACCCACCTCATAGTTCTGCAGAGGACACTGCTGCTGGCCCGCACTGATCACTCTCTCCCACAGTTTGGGCGGCACATTTGAGATGTGACATGAACAGGTGATGGCAGAGGAGTGCAGAGGAGCCAGATAGGGAGCAGGGACAGTGGGCCAGCCAGCCATCTGAAGATCAATCACTACCAGCTCCTCTTCCAAAAGAACCACAAGCGCTGATGGGTCATCAAATTCTGTGAAGCACAAAAATAGCTGAAGTCCATGCACAGCAAATAAAAGAAAAAACATTTAGCATACGCATTTATCATCAGTGATTTATTGCACACTTATTACAGGAACAGCTCCGCAGAAGCAACCCAGGTCAGAAGCAGAAGCAAGTGCCCCGATCAAGAGTACAATGGTAGCTTAGTAACTGCATGTAAGAGTTTGAAATTGTAACTAGGGCTGGGTGGTATGATGGTATATACCAAGGATATACATGATACTGTCAAACTGTTCAGATTCTGCTGGATCATTTATATGACAGCATATTTATGGTACACTTTTACATAATTTGAGTGTTCTTCACATTGATGGCAAACTTATTTGTTCTGAAAAATCATATTCTGGTTTGCATCCGTCAAGTAAATAACCAATAAATATTAATAAAAACAACAACAAGATTAATAATAATAGTAACAGCATAATAATAATAATCGTAATAATTATAGTAGTAGTAGTAGTAAATAAATTACATATTATTCCACTACAACAATAATAATCACCATCCATTATTGAATAATAATAATAATAATAATAATGTCTTATTCAATAAACGACAACAATAATAATAATAATAATAATAATAATATAAAGTAGTAGTATTAAATATCAATTATATATTATTCCACATATATAGATTATATATAATTATTATATATTATTCCACAACAATAACCATCCATAATTGAATGTATTAATAATACTACATAATAAATATTATATATATATATATATATAAAATTCCACAACAACAACCATCCATTGAATAAATAATAATTATTATTATTATTATTGTTGTTGTTATTTTAAATTAAATAATAACAATGATGATGATAATAAAGTAGTAGCACAACAATAATAAACAACCTCCATCCATTATTGAATAAATAACAATAATAATAATAATAATGTTATTATATTATTACTACATTAAAAAATAATATTAGTAACAGTATAATAATAATAATAATAATAATAATAAGTAGTAGTAGTAGTAGTAGTAGTAGTAGTAGTAGTAGTAGTAGTAGTAGTAGTAGTAGTAGTAGTAGTAGTAGTAGTAGTAGTAGTAGTAGTAGTAGTAGTAGTAGTAGTAGTAGTAGTAGTAGTAGTAGTAGTAGTAGTAGTAGTAGTAGTAGTAGTAGTAGTAGTAGTAGTAGTAGTAGTAGTAGTAGTAGTAGTAGTA